CTTCATCTTCTTCATCCTCATCTTTATCTAATAATAATTCTAATAATTCTAATAATTCTAATAATTCTAATAATTCTAATTTTAATAATAATTTTAATAAATTAAAAATAGGATTTATAGGTACAGGTGCAATGAATGGAGCAATAATTTATGGATTAATAAAATCCAAAATAATTAAATCTGAACAAATATATGGATATGATGCATCTGATAAAATATTAAATGAATGTGTTAAAAAGAATGAAATACAAAAATGTCAATCATCAAATGAATTAATACAAAAATGTCAAGTAATTATTTTAGGAGTTAAACCACAATATTTAAATCAAGTTATTAATCAAATTAATAATTCTTTAATTCAAGTTATTAAAGAAAAGAGAGAAATATTATTAATTAGTATTGCTGCTGGATTTAAATTAACTACCATTTATGAACAATTAAATCAAAATTTAAAAAATTATTTATTAGAAAATGAAAATTTAACAAAATATATTAAATTATCACGTGTAATGCCAAATATTAATTGTATGATAAGTGAAAGTGCAAGTGGATATATTATGCATCCATTAAATAATAATGATTTTAAATTTAAACAAATTGTTGAAATTATATTTTCTAAAATTGGAAAATGTGTATTTTTAACTGATGAAAATTATTTAGATTGTGTTACTGGATTAAGTGGAAGTGGTCCTGCTTTTGTTTTCATGTTTATTGAAGCATTAGCAGATGGTGGTGTTTTTACTGGTTTATCAAGAGAAACTTCTCTAATTTTGGCAACTCAAACTGTTTTAGGTCTGCAAAATTATTATTACAATCTTTAACTACTACTGATGGTAATAGTAATAATAATAATAATAATAATAATAGTGGTGGTAATAATAGTGGTGGTAATAATAATAATAATAATAATAACGGTGGATAAATGTACATCCAGCACAATTAAAAGATCAAGTCATGTCACCAAATGGTACAACTGCTAGAGGTGTTAAAACATTAGAAGATGGTAATTTTAGATCAACTGTTATGAATGCTGTTATTAATGCTTTTAATAGATCTGTTGAATTAGGTAATCCAATTAAAAATAGTAAATTATAAATTAATAATAAATTAATCTATTAAAATTATAAAAATAAAATAATCTATTAAAATTAAATTATAATAATAAATATTATTGTTTATTAATGACCAAAATGATTTTTAAATTGTTCTAAAAATAAGAAAGTGAAAATAGTTTGTGGACCTAATCTGAAAAAGTAAGGCCAAAAACCCTTCCATAAACTAAATAAACCTTCATGTTTAATAGTTTTTGTAATAACATCAATACTACCAGTATATTGTATTGAATTTGATGATTTTTGCATTGATTGTAATCTAGTTTTAGCCAAATCAACAGGAATAGAAACAACAGTACAAACATAACCAGCAATTAAAGAAGCACTTATATGTAATAATAAACCATCATTAGCAATTAATTGACTTGATAATAATGATTGTTTAGCTTGTGCATAAACACCTAATTGTGCTGCATTTAATACAATTGCTCTAATGACAGTTGGACTACATCCTCTCCATAAATTTAATATTCCTTCATTTTTACTAATTTTATATAATGCATCAAATATATTTGAATAATTATATCTACCACTTGTCATTCTAATTAATGATAAATCTGCTGGTGTACCTACTATAGCTCCTATACCACCTGCTATCATACCACATCCTAATTTAGTTGCAAAATTAGGTTGTGATTTATTATTTTTCTATTATTATTTTTAATTATATTATTATATTTAATTATATTTTTAATTTTTAATTATTTTATATAATTAATTAATTATTAATTTAAAAAAATACAAACATTTGATAAAAAATCCATTAAAGTATTAAAAACACCTAATCTAGTAGTAGTATAAGTAACTTGTCTAAATAAAGCAGCAGATAAACCTTTATAAAAAGTAGAAATTCCTTCATTCTTTGCAATACTAGTTGCAACTTGAACAAAATTAGAAGATCCTTTACCTTGACCTTCTCCTAATAATTGCATACGTGTTTTTAAGAAATCTGTTGGTCTATTATTATTATTACAATAATATTATGTATAATATATTATTAATATATTATGTATTATTAAAATGATGATGAAATATTGTAAATACATTGTATAATAATATTATCATTACATACTGAATAATAACAGTTGCTAAACATCCTGATAATCCACCAAATAAAAAGTTTTGTCCTGTTGTTAATTGTTTTTCTATATATTATTAGTTATTAGTTAAATATTAATAATAATAGATAGTATTGATATTGATGAAGAGTGATATTAATTAATCATCGGATAAAGATGATTATTAATGAGAGTAAAGATGAATAGTCATGATTAATAATGGCATTAAATTCTTTCAAATTGACCATCAATTATCTTGTACATACCTTGAGGCATTTTTTTCATTCACTGCAACAAATAAATAAAGGCTTTATTAATGTTTGATCAATTGTCTCAATTTGTAGTATGGACATTGTATCAGCGGACCGAAATAATTTAATCAGTGCTTGCGTTGAGTTTTTATGTAATATTAAGCTAAACTATTCTCATTTATTTTCATAATTTACCCTTGAATAAATATGATGATGAATATTGTTCCATCTAAATATGGAAACAGTAATAGTATTTTTTAGACTACCACCCAATAAAATATTTTAAGCCAGCAATCAACCACCAACAATAACCCTCAATATTTTCAGAGTAATAGCCTTATTATTATTATTAATAAAATCATCGGTTAAAAAAATGCTGTTACAGCACAATGTTATGTCTCTTAAACAACAATTGGTAGTAGGCATACATAAGGGTTGTTCTTCAAAAATCAACACCGCCATCAACAATACTCTAAGAAAATCCTTAATTTTATTATTCTTTACAGTATTAATAGTAGTAACATTAGTAATATCATCATCTTTTATTGAAGGTAAAAAAGATGAATTATCAACTGAAGATGTTTCTTTTATTAATTCAATGATTGATCAAGCAATGTCCTCATCTGATATACTTTTATATTGATAATAGTAATAATAATTT